TGATGAGGAGGTCATGTGGTTGGGTTTACAACCAATGAGAAGGCAGAACAGAAAGTCAATAAAAAGACACACAGAAAGCAGGTCTCTTTCTCAGAGGAAGGACAGCAGTGGCAGCGAAGGGTAAGAAGGTGGTTTTAGTCTCAGCTCTTAGCTACTGCTCAGACCTCTTGGGCTTTTAACTCTGTTTGACTCTGTGTTTCTTATTTAATAAGACTGTTACATCTACAAGGGCACAGAAAGTATTTTCCTCAAGCATCTTTCCACATGTGCCGTTCTTCTTGGTTCTCACGGTTGCCCTCCCCCTCTCCCCTCTCCCGGGTCCCTTCTCTGCTGCCAACTGTTTTCCTTCCTCCCCGTAGTTCTTCCCACTTCGGCTTTTCCCTTCTTTCACATTTAAACCACAATGTGAGTGGTGTGTGGTTTGTGTGTGTGCATGTACACAAGGGCGTGGGTATGTATGCACACATGAGGAGGCCAGAGCAAGCTGTCAAGTGTCTTCCTCTCCCACTCTCCACCATATTTCCCTGAGATAGGACCTATCACCTAACCTGAAACTTGCTGACTTGATTTGGTTCAGCTGACTGACCACTGGGCTCCTGAGTCTCTCTTGTCCCCACTCCCCAGTGTTACAAGTATGTACAGCCATGCTTCCATGTATGCTTGTATGTGTGTGGATGCTGGCGATTTGAACTCAGATCCTCAAGCTACAAGTATAAGCAAGTATGCTCATCTAGAGCCATCTCACCAGCCTTTTGTCTTCTTTCTTTTTAATCATGTGGTTTTTGTTTTGGTTTTTTGAGACAGGGTTTCTCTGTGTAACCATGGCTGTCCTGGAACTCACTCTGTAGCCCAGGCTGGCCTCAAACTCACAGAGATCCACCTGCTTCTGTCTCTGCCTCTCAAGTGCTGGCATTAAAGTCATGTGCCATGACTGACTGTCTCAATTAGCTTTTAATTAAAATTTCAGGCCAAGTGTGATGGCGCACACACATCTTTAATCTCAGCACTCAGATCTCTGTTCACAGCCACATGTATTATTATTATTGCTGCTTTTTCTCTGCAGGATAATCCTCATTGCTGCTTTCCTGTTACGTAATCTCATTACACTTTCAATTTCCTACCTATCTTGAGTTCTATTTTTCTCATGATCCCCTTCTTAGTTTCAACTCATACAAATACAAACATGCACATGCATACAGACACAAAGACACACACACACACACACACACACACACACACACACACAGTCACTATGTCAGAACTATGTTTGAAGATCAATTGTGAAAACAGTGAGACTTCTCTCTGGAGGTGTGCTGGTTAGTTTTCTTTCAACATGGCACAAACTAGAGTCCTCTGGGAAGAAGGAACATCAACTGAGGAATTGCCCCCCCCATATTGGCCTGTGGGCATGTCTGTGGGGCATTTTCTTGGTTAGTAATTGTTGTGGGAGCTACTCTATAGCTCCTTGGGAACCTGGCCCTCCTGACATCAGAGGACTAGCTCTCTTTTCCTGTGTCTCTCCAGGGCCACCACCCCAGCCTTCCATCTGGGCAGTTCCAGGAGCTGTGATTTCCACAGGCAGTGCTGTGACCATCTTCTGCA